TCTTTCAAAATAAGCTCCATTGGTGCTAGACTCGTAGCAGAATGCGCTATTACCGTTTCAAACATGCTCGACACGTGTCTATAGCCTTCACCTGATACCACTAAAACTCATCACGTCGGCGGCATCAGTCCGTTGTGAGACGGTTGGGTGCGTTTTTCGAAAAAAAAATTGTTAGGGCGTTAAAGGGTCAAGGCACATTTTAAAGGTAGCAAAGGTGTGTAAGTCTATAAAGTATGAGAGATGTGAAATAGGGCTAAGATATAAAAGTCTTGTACATGGTGAAAACAGGTGACTATTTGCCTCATATCTGCTCAAATTCATCTTGCGCGATTCTTATACTCATTTTCTATAAGTTATTGGCATTCCAGCGACTGTGATTATTCACCACCCGCGAATTCTGCTCCTTTGTTCACATTCATACATTAACAACGTATTCATGGTAAATTTATGTTAGTTAAGGTAGCAGAAGTCGAGTAACAAGAGAGACTATATTGCCACTCCATACCCAAAATCAGTGCTGGAAAACGCTTTCACAGCTGGGCTTAGCGAATATTGTTGGCTATAGACCCTGTTGCACATTCAGTGTTTGAAACATGTTTTGGATCTATTGATCTCAACGACTTCATAAAGTAATTTCCTTGAGTCATTTAACGTTGTGGTCGTCTTCATAAGTTTGCTCAATACTTAATTGTTTGGAAATCCATTTCAGTTAAATGAAAACTGTATTAGTCGAGCTCTCTCACTCACATTCAGTCAGTTATAATTGGTGGGGGAGGGGGGGGGGGAGCCAGTGACCTCAACCGGAGTTAATATTGCCACCATCGGTTCATTATCATACCGAGATGAAGCTTGTCCGAAATTCACCCTCCCGGATAATCCACATTTCTCTTTTAGGTATTCGAAACCCCACATTTGATTGCCTCCATTTTCGAACGTTTTCTGCCATTGACATTGGATGACTCTGTATTGCTTTCGAATTCTGATAGTCTCAAATCAGCTTATGGTGTCCCGCTGCCGCGAATGCTCAAATTGATGCGAGTTTTTGCTCAAAAGAATAACTCTCTTCGGCTCTCTCTGGTGAACAAGTGGAAACTTGCAGACAGATGTCTAACCTACCTGCGTCATCGATTCACTTTGTTGTCGTCGTCGGAGAATAACATTGTAACTTTGTTGATGTTGGAAAGTCTTCGGTGTTTGTCGGTTTGCTTGGAAGAACCGGAAACTCCACAGAGGGCCCTGGAATTGACGAAGTAAGAAATTGATTGACGCCTAATCTATTTATCTACTGTGAATTTCCATTTAATTCGGAGATGGCGTTTTGTCTCTGCTGGTTTATATACATAGTTCGATGTGGCATAACTAACAGCTTAAGTTTAACGAGGAATTTATGTATTAAGTGCACTAAGTAAAAATCGGGCAACCAAATGGATTCATAAATTAAATGAGGCAAAATGTCATGCATTACTGGTTGTTCTCTCCTACTGGAACCCCTCCCCCCCCCCCCCCCCCCTCCTCGTCCCATGTTTTCTTTCTACTTCTTTGGTATTCTTCATATTAAGATATTTCTCAATGATTACAACTTGTTTTACTTTGCTATAGATGATTTTAGTAATAATGGCAATAAATCTCCTCTATTTTAGGTCTGCTTTGAGCGATTTAATTGCAGTGGCTTCGGAGTCAATTTCGTTAACTAATGGAAAGGATCTTTCTCTGAAAATTGCGTGGTTGTCTTTCTTTGCTCGAACACTGTTGCCAAAGTTCCTGGTGTACGTCTATTTGTGCTTTTTATCTAACACATCTGTAGCTTACAACGTTGTATTGAACAAGAAATTTTAGAGATATCGGTTTTGATATCAACTATTACTACTTAATTCGAGTTATGATACTTGGTATCGTTTCTTTCAATTGATGTTCAACTTTGAAGATGCAAGCTTTCAAGAATGAATATTTGCATTTCATAAAATTGGCTTACCGATGGAAGAACACTTTCACTCAGAACTTTTGTCTGAGTTTTATTCTTGTCTTCAAGTCGTTGGTTTGATTGAGGACCACGAATCTTAGTACGCAAGCCATTGAGCATACAAATCTTTGCAAAATACTGCTGTAGGGTTATTGTTTAATTCTCAAATCGCAAGTCGTCAAATTAATTTAACATTCGATGATCTGTGTGTTGCCTTTTTAATTGAGAAGTAAATGCAAAATAAATTCAAATTGGTCTCTTATTTCCTAGAAATTTCTCCTATGACCAGTTGGAAGTTGTTCGATCCTGGGCAATCACCATATTCGAGGCCTGTAGTTTGGAGGTTAGCGCGGCTGAATCTTACGGTTTTTTTTTAACTGTTATATATAGATATATATATATATATATATATATATCTGAATTCAATTTTGAACCTATAGGCATACCATGTAGAGAATGACGGAAAACTAGTTAATTCTCTGTCGTCCTCACCCTTGATGATTAATGTTGCTGCCCAACTCCTCAAAGCCTTGAAAATGGAAGAACACGTAAGCGTTATCTTATTTATTACACTCGCTTAATGGAGTTATAGGAGATTTAATTATTTTGCTTACCTTGTATAGATTGCACAGCTTAGAGAGAAGATTTTCACTGGACCAACGTGGACAAAGGTGCTGAATCACTTCATCGGGTTTGTTTTAAATCTTTTTTGGTGCTTAATTTGCTCTTTAAGGACATCTCTGTCTAATTTGAGGACTCTTTTTTACTTGGCTTAGACATCAATCCGTCCTTACTGGCTTTCCTAATAGAATGTCCCAGACCTCAGTCCTCTCCGCTGAATTTGCAGCTGCCTACACTGCAGATGATGCTGATCCGATGCGCAATTACAACTTTCCAAAGGACGTCATATTTGAGTCTTCGGAGGATGGAGATCCACTCTCAGTTCTCAATGTCTCTAACTCTCTTCCTTGTCTCCCAGATTTGGGCATGTCTGTTTGTCTCTTCTATCGTGGAGCTTGGGCTCCTAGCAATGAAAATTGGTAAGCTATTCTTTATTTCCCTCTACGTCGCTATATTCATAACATGTTGAGCTTAACCATTAATCTACTATTCGAATTTCGAGGTCCATTTTGAAGTCATTTGTCTGAATTCGAAGCCAAATATGCGCATTTTTATGGTAGATAGAATGGGCTGGGTTTCTGGAGGTTTGTTTATCCCTTCCTGATAGTAGTCCTAAGTTAAAGGCGGGGGATGCCTAAAAAAATGGTCACTATCGCAGACACCATTTTAAATGTGACAAGCAAATTTTCAATCTATGCACCTCTATTATGAGTGACTTCAATTCGGAGTGTAATGGGATTGTGTATCTAAGTTCCATAATTCAATTTGGGGAAAAAATGCTTAGAAAGTTAAACGGTTAAAATATCGGCAGCAAATTACCCGCGCGTATCAAAAATAATCAAAAATCGGTAAATAACTCACATATTACTACTAATAATAATGATTAAGTTGGCCATTCTGCTCATTGTGTGAATTTCAAATTAATAATTAAGTAGAAAAAAAACCCGGCAAACTTCAAAATTTAAATATGATTCTTATGATTTTCCTCTATTCGCAGGCAATATTCTCCTCAGCAAAGGGCTCTTATCATTCAGACTCCAGTCTCATGAACTGTGGGTTGGTGGATTTTTACGGTCTATAGGTTGAACCCCCAGCGCTAAGTGCTGGAAAGCACAACTTCTAGTTGTTGTTGTAAAGATAACGCATTACGGCTCAATTTGAGCTACTCTAATTCATAATGCTTCATATTAAAGTTATTAGAGTAACAATGGATAGAGAGCATAAAATCAAATACAATTGCAATTTCATTAAGACAAAATATTGAATAGTTAATTATTAGTATATCTTTCCTTAAAACAACTGGATGGCTGTAAACTTTTCCACTAGACGACAAACGTCTAAGTGAAATGATCGATCTGATACAAATGGCTATGTATTCTTTGCCCTTACTTTTGTTTTTTTTGTTCAACAGTGAAGCCAAGGAAACAACACTTCCAGCAATGTGGTGGCCACCACCAAGTCGTTCTGTCTACCCCATTGATGTTGTTGAACCACTTGATCTTCTCCCTCGTCAGCAGTCGAAATGGACTAACTTCCTTCCTTTAATTGAGGCTGCGTTGACAATAGGAGGCATTGATCTAACACCTTGGTGTGACCAATTGAGGAGGTTGCGTGTTCCCCCTGTTGTCACTAAGTCCGGTTTCCCACATGGACTGATGGCTATTGAGAGTTCGTTGATGGGAAGATATCTTCTTCATCTATCGGCAAGTCATTTCGCTCTTGTCTTGATTAACCTTAAATTGCCTCAAGTTCATAAAGTTTAAATGCTTCTAAATCTATTTTGATTAACTAAAGTTTTATTCAATTTGCCTTGTTGCTATAGGAAGTGCTTGCGAGCGATTCACAGATTTGTTTTAAGTTAATTAACAGGGAAAAATGGAAGCACGTGAGTTGCATATTTGTGCTCAATTTTCCAGGAATAACCTTCAAAATAGTGTATGGAAATCTCAGAAGCCCCAAGAAAATAGGCTAGTAACGCTTTAAATGTAAAGATTAAAAAATAAGTCGATGTATGAGGACTTATTGGATGATTAAGTCATTGGTGTTCCTAATGTTTATAGAATATTTGATATTTCTGTGCACATTTCGATATTCTTGCATGAATTCTATTAGCAGTCTCTCACAGCTTGGGAAGTGGAACTTGATAGACCAATAATATCGAAGACTACCTGACAAAATAATAACAATTTTACTCTATTTTGCGCAGGAGATGAAGGGTGATCTATGGTGGGCAGCTTTCAATCTCGTGTCTTGTCTTCATTTTGGCCAAGAAGCTCTATTCATCGAACTCCTGCAAAGAATCATATTTCCAGTCTACGATCTAACACCGTAAGTAAATAATCCCAAATTACCGTAATGCATTTTATGGTGGATTTGAATATGTATACGATTTCTATCTGTTCCCTCTAGGATTGAGACGGGAGGCTTTTCAGAAACCATTTCAAATTCAAAAGCTCCTTGGCCACCAGTTCACGAGTCGTTCTCTCAAGGTCTTGCTTTTTATGCCCACAAACTCTATGGAGAGTATTTCGCAGACTTACTCCAGAGACGCAGTGCTGGTACGTTGGATGTCTCTTCAAATTCACTTCAATAAAAATGTTAAAACATTTGTTTCATTTTTGGGAAAGAGACGGTATCCTACAATCCCTCTGATGGAAAGTCCAGTGTCTGCTTCTGACTTGATTGGCGTGATTTTGACCATGCGATATCTATATTCTCGTTTAGGAAGAAGTTCGATTTGTTATCAGATTGAAGATTCTAAGCACGAGGAACATTACTTGTGGTTAGATGAACGGAAAAAGGAGGTGGGGCAAGTACTAGTCTTTCTTTGTGGGACTTCTTGAATTCTCATGGTGTTTGTCTTTCACCTTAGACATTGGGTTGTAAAATGTCTCATAGACTAATGAGTTAGGTCCCATATCCTCATTATCATAAACTGATTTACCAATTTACTGGAGTAAGTTGGGAGGTTTGATCGTACAACAACCACCTCTCTTAGTCGAAAAGCAGCTAGTCAATAATATGCCACATAGCCAGAGTCCAGGGATGAGCCTTTATCATGAAGCCGGATTTGAGAAGATTAACAGCGCTTGTGTTGGCAAAAAATGCTTTTTTTCTAAAATTTTTGTTTCTACGTTTAGAAATGAAAGACATATACAAGCCTCTCAAGTCCCGACCCTCTTGTGATCTTATCCTACCCAATGACTGGTTCTACATGCCTATTCTCGAAGCCTACTTCCATCACGCTCGACCTCCTACAGAGAAAGATCAGTCCCAAGTTTATTTCACAATCGATCCGGAGGTTAACATCACAGCTATGTTTTTAATTAGTTGATAGCTTCCAATAAAGTAAAACCTATTTCTTGGTTTCGTAGACTTATCTGCTAAACGCTACTGCCATTTTGGGTTGGATTCGAGGATTGCTATCTCAACAGCCTCTATTGGTGTCCAAAAATGCCTTTCCCCGTGGGGTGACTGCCTCTGGTCATTTCTCGCGAATACTCTGCGCTATTTTGGCTTGTCAGAGTGCTGGAGCACTGTGTTTCAATTTGTCTGGCGCTATTATAGCCGAGCTAGTCACTACTTTACTGCCTAGGATCAGTTTTGAGGAGTTGGATGCTAGCCCAGAAGAACACCTTCCACTTGATTTGATCTCATTTTATGATTTGTAAGTTGAAAGCCTCTTCGCTGTATCTATTGAGGCTATAATGCCCACTTCTTGATGCAAAAATCTATGCCTTTTACAGTTGATGGAGTTGCATTTCTAAAGCATGCACGGGGTGGAACACATTTTTGCTCGTTCACATGTATCTATTTGATAATCGAGGATATTGTGCTGCCTGTAATTTTTGCCATCTTCTTGCATATCTTCAAGACACGTGAATGTGTCTGATTTCGTCGTTGAATTTCATAGATAAGCATTGAACTTTTTTGGTGAAATTGATACCAATAGGTTACCTGACATTTTCGTTCTTTTATGGGAGAAAAATATGCTTTTTTTGTATCAAATTCAACAATTTAATGAGGACATCAAACGACAAGCACTCTCCACTGTTTACTCTATTACATCATGTCATTCGTTTTTGGACTCATTAACCAATCTCCACCTGAACCGACTCTTTGTTGTTGTTGTTGAAGTTGGGGGTTGTCAGCAGAACACATTCCTATGTTTTTTTATTTAACCCAATGGACGCATTCAGCTCGTATTTTTTGGGTGTATTGGGGCGGGAGGGGGGGCGGGGGGAGGCTGGTGGGGAGATTAACCCATCCTAGGATTTTCTTCTCCAATAATAAAATGAAAAAAGTTTCTCGGAATTTGTGGTCAGTGCCTCTTTATCCTTAATGATTTGAGATATTTTGGAAGTTCGGGTCAGTTGAATTTAAATTTGAGAATGATTGCTCCAAATCGATTCTTGCTTTCATTTTATTGCATTTTTGCCAATAGTTCATATTCATTCGAAAAGCGGAAAGCCACACGTCTTTGTGTGCTTATCCTTTACCCTTCACTTAAGACTCAAACTGGTTCTAACGTATTATATCGATTTAACTACTTACTATTATAGTAATTCTTGGGGTATGCGATAGACTTACCTCCACGTGATGCACCTGGGCAACGTTTACTAATACGGCAAAAAAGTCTATTAACCGGCAGTTGACTTCTGACTTCAAATTACCATCACCCCACTGTATGTCATATTCCACAACTTTCGCAGTACTCACCTCACCTCTGTCCCTACCTTTGTGTCTGTCTCTTCTACATCTGTGAATCACTCTTTAGCTCCCCCTCTCGACATTTTGTCACTTTGATATTCCTTCTTCTCTCTGTGAAGCCCGAAGTCAGCTAAATGGCTAATGATAACTATTCAAAACGCCTGCCATTTGAAATAATAATTATTATTATAGTAATTCTTAATTCAATTACTATTGTTATTGTTTTCGTTGTCAGGTATACTGAGTTGTTAGAGCACTACACTGCTATCTCGTATTCCTCACCAATATTCGCCAATATAATTCTTCTATTTCTCCGACCTGCTGCTCTACCAGTTTCAAATTATCGAAAGGCTCTTTGGGGCGAACACCAAGCAACGCTGCGTTCCATTCAGTTATCTCCTTCTGAGGTAAGTGACTTGTTTTTTGGCAAGCTACCGATATTTAAATAAGTAAAATGCTTAAAAAATACCTTTCTTGTTAGGTTTTTCTTCCGGAGGACATCTATAAGGGACTCTTTGAACCTCTCGAAACTACCCAGGAGGTTCTTAGAGCCTACGCTTGTGCGATCTGCGCCGGGACCATCAGTTTGAACAGACAACCGTTGATAACACTGATCGTCCTGCATCACCTTAACCGGTTAGCCTGAATTACACACCAAAACACAGTTCTTCTAACGTTTTTCTTTCTTACATTTCATTTGCTATTTCAGGAACATATACTTGACAAAGACTGATCATATTCATGAGGAGTTCGTGAAACTACTGGGGACATCTCTCAGATTTTTGGCTTCGAGACGAGGAACTCAGGAAGTAACAGAGTGGTTACGACTTTACATGTTTCCATCCGGGCGAACTGAGAAAGTACCCCTATCCGAACTCGTACAGGCGAATCGAATTTCGGTTGTTGCTTGTGGAAACTTCAGGGTGGAAGATCTTATTGAAGTGTATAAGGAAGACAGTCTGCCCTCTTCTCGACGAAAGAAATGGAAGGAATTCATGGGAAATTAAGTTTGTATAGTTGTTGTATATTAACATTTTGCTTTTAAAATGAAGTAAAGGACTACTTGTAGTGCCCGCTTAAAGTTTTAATCTAATTTTATTGTTGTTATTGTCAAAGCAAATAATATGATAAGAAATGGAATTTAAAAACATTTAACATATTCGCGTGAAAATTAAAAAAGTGAGGCTGCTTAGAGAGTGGATAGCCCGTTCTACTTCTATGCTTTGGTCACTGTTGACGTTAGAGGTCACGACTACGGTCCCCATAGGCGCATATCCGGTGAGAGGAATAGCTAACCGCACTTGCTAGTATAGAGAGGCTCTATACTGTGTAGCGGATTGCTACACTAATAAGCCCTGACTATACTCAATAATCTCTAGGGCAGATTCTCCTATGCTTGTTAAAGCTCCCGGAACTAGCTGACCTTCCGCAAAGCTATAGTAGAAACTGACGTATCACACGGAACATGTTTATTCGGGACGTGTGAGAGGGTGTGTGTGTAAGGTCAGAGGTCCTAGCCATTGTATTAATATGGCGGGTTTGATAAACCAAGTAAGGCTATTGATTGGCGGTTGGCTGTGGGCTCCGTGTTCACGACTGCACTTACTCCCCACGCAGCCTCACCTTCAAACCTGTCTGAGTGGGCATGAGATTACTTTGTTTAGCGATGTTAACGTCGTGTGCTTCATAAGTGTTAAACCATACCATGTCAGTTAAATTACGAATCTTAAGAACCAATCATTGCAAATCCCGATATAGTGCAGATTTGACAAAGGTTCACAGAAAACGGGAAGTAAAATCTGGCTTTTTTGGAAATTCATTCGGTAGTATATAATCTAGACGCTTTCAGTACGACGTTAAAGAATGCGGACAAGCAGATAGAGGTATACCAAGTGGAACTGAAGTTAGCTCGGCACAAAAACCAGGAAATAGAATCGGATAGTTAATTTATTGCAACGAATATAACCATATTTAATTAATTAAAGAGCACAAATCACTGCTGCATCTCTTTTTTGTTATTAGCGCTTTCAGAATATTCATGTAGAATTTGCCAGAATTCAGAATCCCGGTCTATCTTTTCTCCCGTTTATCCAATCATAACCTTTAAATCGAGTCAAGATCATTTAAAATGAGTAATACATAAAATTAAACCGTAAAGTCTATGCAATGCTTACAACATATTTTAAATCCCAAAAGTACTGTGTAATGGGTTGATCGGGGATAATTTCCGCACCTTTCGGATGTCCAAAATAGACAAGGTCGTGGGGTTTTAGCTGAGTTCTTTTATTGACACGTCGATGATTAACGTACGTCCCACTTTTGCTGAGGTCAGAAAGATAGAATTTGCCATCCGCTTTTTCAATTAATGCATGAAGTCGGGATATTGCCTTCTTGGCCTCAAAACTATCAATTTGTTTATAAAATTGTTTATTTCTTTCCATTCGACCAAGCAGGAGTAGGTCCTGTTCATCTTTCATCTCAATTTTACGAAATTTGTTACCGCCTTCCTGGGTGACATCTGCCACTTGATAGAGAATCAATTTCGGCATAATTTTGAACAATGCCAAAGGTGAAAATTAGTCAATTGATAAATATTAGCTTGTGATGTGATTTCATTTAGATCGAAGGTCATTAATAATAAAATTAAATTTAGTAAATTTAAAAAAACTTTTTGCTTATTTTAACTTTGGGCAGAAATTTGCCTCAAACAGAAATTTTTTTGGGGGTGGGGCTGAAGTATATTTAGAATTAATACTCTTTGGCATTATAAACGAAGTACTCTCATAACCACTCGGTAAGACAGGAAGGATGATTGTGTTGTCAGTCTTTTATTATCACGGAATGATTAAATGATCAAAATGTGGCGTGCTATTGTATTTGCTTCGATAATACCTTGTTTTAGTGCATAAATGGTGGATTACCAACAGGTGACTGGAGTGTTGTAAAGATCGTTCAGAATTGTCATACAAACTCAATAGTCATGAATGCTACGATGAAGTCTGATGTAGTTTAAGAAACTGCGGGCAAAGAATTAGGTACACATCCATACCATAATTAAGAGATTAGTGTTCAACGACTTGTCGGAAAGTTTGAAGTAAGTCCATGTGCTAGCTTTTGGGCTAAATTTTGAGTAGATGAAAAATGGTTGATTCAGAATTTCATTTCATATATAAACGAGGTCTATCAAGTGCACAATACTACCAAGGCTGAACAACAAAACTGCATGTGCACTCGACTAGTCTGTAAGGTGTTGATTGGTGTTGAGATTGATCACATTGGGAGGAAGTACGTAGT